GCTTTTCCAGCCTGGTTGAGTCTATGATTCAACTGCTGTTGGGAGAGCATAGGTGCAGCCTGATTCTGGTAGGGCACGCACTGGGGTAAGATGAGAGGTGCCAGCCCCAGGTTACAAGACAGGAGATTCCCATCAGAGGTAGTGAGTGTGGGGCAGGGGCTTAGGGATCTCCTTACATGGAGTTATCCAAACTTCAGGAAGGGCAAGGCCCTGTTAAACAGTGTGGTCTGAGGTATCCTAGCTTTGTGAGCATGTTGGACCAGAGATGGTTCAAAATTGTGTGTTCTTTTTAAGGGAAGGAAGCTGTTGGCAATGCTTTTGAGAATCCAGGAATAAGGAGTGAGGGAGGATTTGGCACTGTCCTGCTGGAGTGGTTCTCTGAAGCAGTGGGTGGGTGGGTGCAGCAGACTGTCAGTTCATTGCTGTCTCCTAGAGACGTGCCTCTTTATAGTGAACAAATGTATTGGGAACAAGCTCTTGTGCATTCCAGTGAGGGGAAAAATGGGAAGGGTCATAATCTTTGGATGTTAAATGACACCTTCCACTAGACCAGGTTACTCCAAGCCCCGTCCAACCTGGCCTTAAGGAACTTCTTAATGTTCATGAAGAAGTATTTCCAGCCATGTTATTATATTTTGTGGGGCTTATAAACAGAGAGCTGCTGTAGGAAGTGCTGTAGAAGTGTTCTAGAACAAGCAGAGTGAGCCCTGCCATGCTGCTTCGTAGTCAGCTCTCTGAGCACAGCCTTTTGCCTAAAAACTTCTACTTGGGAAGGACTAAATAGAGTTAATGGAATGCTATTTTATACAAAGAGTTTTAGTGTGTCCTGGGCTCAGCTGTAACAGTTATTTTTCTGCTTCTCAGTAGCTGGTGCCGTGCTGTGGGTTTGGCTTTCAGCCTGGGAACAACGCTGATAACACCGATGGTTTTAGTTGTTGCTCAGTAATGTTTACTCTGACCAAGGACTTTCTCAGTCTCATGCTCTGCCAGCGAGGAGGGGAAGCCAGGAGGAAGCAGAGACAGGACACCTGACTCAAACTGGCCAAAGGGCTATTCCATACCACAGCACGTCATGCCCAGTATATAAACTGGGGGGAGTTACCTGGAAGGCCCAGATCTCTGCTCGGGTTGGGCTGGGTATCGGTCAGCGGGTGGTGAGCGGTTGTGTCCTTTTCCCTTGTTATTCCTCTTATCATTATTATTGGTAGCAGCAGTGGTTTGTATTATACCTTAGTTACTGGAGTGCTCTAATCTCAACCCATGGGAGTTACATTCTTTCCATTCTCCTCCCCATCCATTTGGGAGCGGGATGGGAAGAAAGGGGGGAGTGAGCAAGTGGCTGCGTGGTTCTGAGTTACAGGCTAGTCTTAAGCAACGCCATAGGGGATGGTTGAATGGGGAGATATCAACTACATTTAGCTTTTCAAAAGGCCTTGAGCAAGGTTTGCCACTTGAAGCTCTTAAATTAAGCTGACACAGGAGAAGAAAGTTGTTCCTGATTAAATAATCAGGATTCCTGTCTTCCTAAAAAGTAGGAAAGAGTAGATCAGCTGCACAGAGGGGAGTTTCTTGGTATTTTCCCTAGGGCCTGCATTTAACATGTCATAAACTCTCAGAAATAAACTGTGAGTGCTGAGATGATTCATTTTTCTTCAACCTGTTACGATAAAGACAAGTGCTCTCAGTGATGCTTTAAAGTCTTGATGCTAGTAGGCAGCTGAATGAAACAATAGCAGATAATATGCACTGTAGGGAAGTCCAAGGAGGTGTAGCATGGGGCAGAGATGATCAGAGCTGTATGGTTATAGCAGGTTGGATCTAAGGCAGAAGCTCTTCCCTGTGAGGGTGCTGAGGCGCTGGCACAGGGTGCCCAGAGAAGCTGTGGCTGCCCCATCCCTGGCAGTGTTCAAGGCCAGGTTGGACTCAGGGGCTTGGAGCAACCTGCTCTAGTGGAAGGTGTCCCTACCTGTGGCAGGGGGTTGGGACTGGATGAGCTTTAAGGTCCCTTCCAACCCAAACCAGGCTGGGATTCTGTGATTCTATGTATGCACACACGTGTATTTCAGTAGAGTGTATAGTGGTGGGGTTTGAAGTGAACAAACAGGAGTGGGACCTTTGGGCGATAATAAACATCGCTTAAGAAAAGTAGTTTCGTGCTCAGCAGGTTTTCCAAAAACGGAACAAACTAGGGCATTATTATTTGGCTGTGGAAGGCCGTGGTTTGTCCACATCTTCATCACTGGAGGCAGATTTGGTCTCTGATCTCAGAATTGGGTAAAGGAGAAGTTCAGGGGGTTCAGAGAAGGTAGATAAGGATACTGGAAGGTAGGGGCAAGTTCGGTTGTAAGAATGAAGATGTCTTGGGAAGAAATATCTGAATGGAATATGATAAAGGTCTGTAAAATTGCCCACGGAATGAGGGTAAATAGGGGAATGACTGATCACTGCTTCAGGATAACTCACTAGTGATTGCTGGATATTTAGAAGAACCTATTTATTTTGCTGTTCATGATCTTGCTGATCCAAATTGAAATGTGATCTGTTTGCTTCTGGTTAAAAGGCTGTTCAGACCTGTGCTAACATAAATGCTTTGAGTTCACCCCTTTTCTGTTAAATTTGTGTACACTTTTGTATGGATCTGACATTAACTTTTAGAATGAACAGAATAAGATGAAACAAACTCTTCAGTCAGGGCTGAGCTGTTCATCT